TTATGAAATAAATGTAGGCGAAAATATTCAGTACCAGGTAAAACAAGATACCATTCTGATTATGTACAAGAATCTGGGAGGGAAAGAGTAGAACTAGCAAAAGAACGTAGACGTAGGCATCTCCCTCAAGATTATAAATTTTTACAGAATGCAGAGAGAATGTTAAATAAAAGTTTCCTTCTCATCAATCCTGAGTAAAAAGGAAACCATCCCTTTAGACTTGACGATGGAACACTAAAAAAAGACAGAAAAAGAGAAGCAGGAGAAAGTGGAATTGAAAGAAGGGAAAGGTATTCAAGAAATCTGTACAAATTAGAAATTGCTCAAGTAGCAAAACTTACTAGGATGATCCTTGTTGTTGTTAGGTGTTGTCGAGTTAGTTCCAATTTGTAGTGACCCTATGTACAACAGAATGAAATATTGCCCAGTCCTGTGCCATCCTCACAACCATTGCTATGTTTGGGCCCATTGTTGCAGCAACTGTGTCAATCAACCTCCCTGAGGGTCTTCCTCTTTTTCGCTGATCCTCTACTTCACCAAGCATGACCTTCTCTAAGGACTGGTCCCTCCAGATAACACGTCCAAAGTACGTGAGACGAAGTCTCTCCATCCTCACATCTAAGGAGCATTCTGGCTGTACTTCTTCCGAGACAGATTTGTTTGTTCTTCTGGCAGTCCATAGCATATTTAGTATTTTTTGTCAACACCATAATTCAAATGCATCAATTCTTCTCTGATCTTCCTTATTCATTGTCCAGTTTTTGCATGCATATAAGGTGACTGAAAATACCATGGCTTGGGTCAGGTGCTTCTTAGTCCTCAAAGTGGTATCTTTGCTTTTTAACAGTTTAAAGATGTCTTTTGCAACAGGTTTGCCCAATGCAATACATAGTTTGATTTCTTCACTGCTGCTTCCATGGACATTGACTGTGGTTCCAAGTCAAATGAAATTCTTGACAACTTCATACTTTCTCCATTTAGTGTGATGTTATTTATTGGTCCAGTTGTGAGGATTTTTGTTTTCTTTATGTTGAGGTATAATCCATACTGAAGGTTGTAGTCTCTGATCTTCTTCAGTAAGTGCTTTAAGTCCTCTTTGCTTTCAGCAAGTAAGGTTGTGTCATCTGCATATCGCAGTTGTTAATGAGTCTTCCTTCAATCCTGATGCCCCATTCTTCTTCATATAATCCAGCTTCTTGGATTATTTGCTCAGCATACAGGTTGAATAAGTATAGTGAAAGCATATATCCCTGACACACACCTTTCTTGATTTTAAACCATGCAGTGTTCCCTTGCTCTGTTCAAAAGACTGCCTCTTGATCTTTGTACAGGTTCTGCAGGAGTACAATTAAGTGTTCTGGAATTCTCATTCTTCACAATGTTACTCATAATCTGTTATGATCCACACAGTCGAATGCCTTTGCATAGTCAATAAAACACAGATAAACATCTTTCTGGTATTCTCTGCTTTTAGCCAAGATCCATCTAACTTCAGCAATGTTACCCCTCATTCCTGTTCTCTTCTGAATCCAGCTTGAATTTATGGAAGTTCCCTGTTGATGTACTGCTGCAACTGTTTTTGAGTTATCTTAGCAAAATTTTACTTTTGTGTGATATTAATGATATTGTTTGATAATTTCTACATTCTGTTGGATCACCTTTAGCATGAGCACAAATATGGATCTCTTCTAGTTGCCTGACCAGGTAGCTGTCTTACAAATTTCTTGGCATAGATGAGAGAGCACGTCCAACGTTGCATCCATTTGCTGAAACATCTCAATTGGTATTCTGTCTATTCCTGGAGCCTTGGTTTTCACCAATTGCCTTCAGTGCAGCTTGGACTTCTTCCTTCAATATCATCAGTTGTTGATCATATGCAACCTCCTGAAATGGCTGAATGTCAACTAATTCTTCTTGGTACAGTGCCTCTGTGTATTCCTTCTATCTTCTTTTGATGCTCCCTGTGTTGTTCAATATTTTCCCCATAGAATCTTTCAATATTGCAACTTGAGGCTTGAATTTTTCCACCACTCGTCTGTCATTTCGTTGTACTGAGGTGGCTTGCATGTTGCTGTGATGCTGGAAGGTATGCCACCAGTATTTCAAATACCTGCAGGGTCGCCCATGGTGGACAGGTTTCAATGGAACTTCCAGACTAAGACAGACTAGGCAGAAGGACCTAGCGACCTACTTCTAAAACAATTGGCCAGTGAAAACCTTATCAACAGCAGCAGAACACTGTCTGACATAGTGCCAGAAGATAAGCCCCTCAGGTTAGAAGGCACTGAAAATATGACTGAAGAAGAGTAGCTTCCTCATAGTAGAGTCGACCTTAATGATGTAGGTGGAGTAAAGGTTTCAGGACTTGCATTTGCTGATGTGGCATGACTCAAAATGAGAAGAAACAGCTGCAAACATCCATTAATAACTGGAACATAGAATGTATAAAGTATGAATCTAGGAAAATTGAAAGTTGTCAAAAATGAAATGGAATGCTTGAAGATAGACATTCTAGGCATTAGTGAGCTGAAATGGACTAGCACTGGTCATTTTGAATCAGACAATCATATGGTGTTCTATGCCGGGAATGACAAATTGAAGAGGAATGGCGTAGCAGTCATTGTCAAGATTTCAAGATCTATCCTGAAGTACAATGCTGTCAGTGATAAGATAATATCCATAGGCCTACAAGGAAGACCAGTTAATATAGCTATTATTCAAATTTATGCACCCACCACTAATGCCAAAGACGAGGAAATTAAAGATTTTTACCAACTTCTGCAGGCTGAAATTGTTCAAACATGCAATCAAAAGGCATTGATAATTACTGTTGATCGGAATGCAAAAGCTGGAAACAAAGAAGAAGAATCAGTAGTTGGAAAACATGGTCTTCGTGATAGAAATAACACCAGAGATCACTTGATAGAATTTTCCAAGACCAACAACCTATTCATTGGAAATACCTTTTTTTCAACAACATAAATGGCATCTCTACACGTGCACCTCACCAGATGGAACACACAGGAATCAAACTGACTACTTCTGTGGAAAGAGATGATGGAGAAGCTCAATATCATCAGTCATAACAAGGTTTGGGACCGACTATGGAACAGATCATCAATTGCTCCTATGCAAGTTCAAGGTGAAGCTAAAGAAAATTAAAACAAGTCCATGAGAGCCAAAGTATCACCTTGAGTATATCCCATCTGAATTTAGAGACCATCTCAAGGATAGATTTGATGTACTGAACACTAATGACTGAAGACAAGACGAGTTGTGGGATGACATCAAGGACATCATATATGAAGAAAGCAAAAGGTCATTAAAAAACAGGAAAGAAAGAAAAGACCAAAATGGATTTCAGGAAAACTCTGAAACTTTCTCTTGAACATAGACTAGCTAAAGCAAATGGAAGAAATGAGGAAATGAAAGAGCTGAAAAGAAAATTTCAAAGGGCGTCTTGAAAAGACAAAGTATAAGGAAATGTGCGAAGACCAGGGAAATAAAAGTTTAATCCTCCCCAATTTTATTAGGGGAGAGAGGATACACCCATACAAAAAGCAAATTATCAGTTCCTGGAAATATGTGATTAGAAGTGAAATTAGTGATGTAGACAGCAAGGGGTACTAAGCCTAAGCAAGAAGGAAAACCACATCCTGAGAGGTAAGGTAAACTACACGTTTGATTTTTTAAAAAGGAGTTGACAGCAAATGCATCTTAACCACACTGGCTAGACTGTAAAATTTTCTGAAAATGTGATACTGGTGATAAAGTACTCAACAATATGAACTAAACAAAAGATCAAAATGTAGCCTTTATACACTTCTGATATACCCTTGGGTTAGTATTTACTTACAACACTTAGCCACTCAAAAAGTGAAACTTGGCTTTTTTTTTTTTTTTTTAATTGTTGTACTTTAAGCGAAAGTTTACAATTCAAGTTAGTCTCATAAAAATTTATAGTTACATTGTTATGTGACCCTAATTGCTCTCCCTATACTGTGACAGCACATTCCTCCTTTCTACCCCTAATTTCCCATGTCCATTCAATGAGTTCCTGACCCTCTCTCTGCCTTCTCATCTCACCTCCAGACAGAAGCTGCCCATTTAGTCTCATGTATCTACTTGAGCTAAGAAGCACACTCTTCACCAGTTATCATTTTATGTCCCATAGTCCAGTCTAATCTTTGTCTGAAAAGTTGGCCTCGGGAATTGTTTTAGTTCTGGGTTGACAGAGAGTCCGGGCACCATGCTTTCTGGGGTGCCTCCAGTCTCAGTTAGACCATTAACTCTAGTCTTTTTACTAGAATTCGAGTTCTGCACCCCACCTTTCTCCTGCTCCGTCAGGGACTCTGTTCTGTTCCCTGTCAGGGCGGTCATTGGTGGTAGCCAGTCACCATCTAGTTCTTCTGGTCTCAGGATTAAGCCGTCTCTGGTTTTTGTGGCCCTTTCTGTCTCTTGGGCTAATACTTTCCTTATGTCTTTGGTGTTCTACATTCTCCTTTACTCCAGGTGGGTTGGGACCAATTGATGCATCTTAGATGGCCACTTGCTAGCTTTTAAGATCCCAGACAGAAACTTGGAATTTTATAAATCTACAAGTAAGAAAATCAAAACTACAGATTTTAAAAGCATATTTGAATAAGGTGTATCTGAATAAAGATGAGAGATTTTAAGAACATAAATCACTGTGGACTGAGCAACCGTTGACTGCCTACGTGCCTTACTCAGATATAGAAAACCCCCACTCAATACAGATCTACCATTTATCCAGCATTTACAGAACCTGGGGAGAGATGACATCATGACCCTTTACCAAAACAAGGTCCTCAGGTAAACTGAACTTCAACCTACTATCTGCCCTTCAGAGTCAACATAATTTCACAGTTTTATGAACTTGAGTGCGGACATTTCAGAACAAAAGTCAAGTGGCAGAACATGTGAAAACAGTTTCATCTTGGGGTGAGAAAAAAACTGAATGAAATGATAAAATATATTACCTGTGTGGTGACCATGAGTATCTTCAAAATCTGTAAACCCAGTTTCCATGGAATCTGATGTCTGGCTCGGTATTTTTCACAAGGGTTCATGAAGTAAAACTTCAAGTCTTCCCTCAGACATTCTTCTTTCACCTCAGAATCAATATGAGCCATCACATTTCTGCCACAAAAGATCAATTTTTAAATACACAGAAAAGCCTGTCGATCAGAAAGATCCTGAAGAATATTTTTCCATTCACATGCTTTACCCAAGCTTACAAACAAAACTCTCCAACCAGTGAACTTCTTTCCTCTTTAGAAATCTGAAAGTCATTCAGGATCCTCTATAACCTGCATTTCTAAATCTCCACCCATCTTGTTCAAAATGGCCACTCTTAAAAATTACATAAATAGGATTTTTTATTTGTAAGATTTATCAATTATTATATTCTAACATATAGCATTCACTTGTCACTGGAATATGACAAGGAAGTATGTGTGTGTATGTGTGTGTGTGTGAGCGTGTGTATGAACAAAAATTAGAACACTTTCATGATACTCCAGATGTAAAATCACAGAAATTTAGTACTGACTAACGGAATTAGACTGTTATGGAAGTAGAGAACCTCTGTTTTATCCATCTGTACTGAAAAAAGGATTATGTCTCCTTTTCTTGGACAACATAATGGTGATTATAAAATTATAAACTATAAATAGCTGCAAAAAGTTAAAACAGTAGCTCTCTACTTATGTTTGGATTCCCTGGGTGGTATGAACAGTTAATGTGCTCAGCTACTAACTGAAAGGCTGGAGTTTCAAGTTCACTCAGAGGTGCCTCAGAGGAAAGGCCTGGAGATCTACTTTCGAAAGTTCACAGCCATTGGAAACCCTGTGGAGCATAGTTCTACTCTGACACATATGAGGTTGCCATGAGTTAGAATCCACTCAATGGCAACTGGTAACTGGTATTTATATTTAGTTAGATATTTGTCACATTATATTAGGGAAATTTTGCTTTTTCTATTTCAGGGGCTTTTAACTCAGGAACGGGCACATGACTAAAGCTAGGTCAAAAATAACCAATAAGACATGGATGCAAGGTTTTGATTATAACTGCTGGAAGAGATGTGGTCTTTCCACTAAGTAGTCCCCAAAGTAGGGTATGTAAAAAAATCCGCTGAGAGTAAAGAAAATATCATTATCTTAAAAAGTAAACAATTGAACTCTACTCATAATTAATACCACCATCTAGCTTTCAATTTATTGTACTGTGGTGGCCTGTAGGTTGCTATGATGCTGGAAGTTATGCTACTGGTATTTAAATACCAGCAGGGGCATCCATGGTGGACAGGTTTCAGCAAAGTTTCCAAACTAAGACAGACTAGGAAGAAAGGCCTGGAAATCTACGTCTGAAAATTACCAACGAAAACCTTATGGATGACAACAGAATATTGTCTGATATAGTGCTGGAATATTCCAAACCTGGTTGGAAGGCACTCAGAATACACAATGGCTGCAACAACAGACTTGAGCATACCAGTGATTGTGACAATGGCACAGGATTGGGCAACAATTCATTCTGTTGTACATGGGGTTGCCAAGAGTCAGAACTGACTTGACGGCAACTAACAACAATAATACAACATATAGAATAATAGTAGTATACAATTTATAAATAAATATACACACATTGGGGATATGTGCTCAACTTTTACTGTCAGGTACATAATGAACAAAGTTTGGAGATCAGACATAAAGCATAGGCTGTGAGTCTGGAAGCCATCTCACTACCACAGAGCTCACCAGAGAGTAGAGCTAACAGTGAAGAAAATAGAGAAGAGATAGAGACTTAGCCTAACGACACTGTTTGAGTTCCTGGATCCAACTGTGCCTGAAGACATCCATCCCAAGACTTTCAATTTGAGCCAATCAATCCCTTTGGGGTTTGAACCAGCTTGAGGCAGATTCCTGTTACTTGCAACAGGAAGTGTCTTGATGGCAGTTTAATGAATAAATGCCAGTAAGTTAGGCCAATATTTTTTATACTGATTTATGATCTATGTTATTTACCTTGACTAACAAATTTAAAAGAAGCCCAAAAGGGAATGACTATTTTAAGGCTTATGCTCAATCGTTATTTATTTCTATTTCTAAACTGATTTTTGGACCTCTGGTTTCCAGGATTAATGGGCTAGGTTATTCAGAACTCTCCTGCTGGAAAAGAGAAAAGAAAGAAGGAAAGAAATAAAAAGAATAATTCTGGAGAAAATGTATACGTTTTTGGAGGGGGGAATCTTTAAAAGACTGAAGAGCTAAAAGAGAGCAGAAACTTCCCAGGCCAACTCTAGGAGGGATCCAGGGAAGTAAGAGCCAATTGCCATTAATTCACCTGAGTTTCAGTTTTGTGGCCTCAAGAAGAAGGAACAAGGGGGATGAGTCAAGGCCAGAGCCCACCCAAGATGGCAAATCTGAGAAGAGATCCTCCTCACGTATAGATGGGGGCCCAAAGGACTATCCCTTTAGGAAAATAACCACCATCCAAACTGCCTGGCCCCAAACTTAGAAGGCCACGGAGAAGGTCAGAGTAGTCAAATCAAAGAGAAGAAAAGAAATTTTAAAATAGACCAGTTAGAGAAATGATGGCCATAAACCAGCCCTTTGAGACTCACACTTGGATGAGCCAGGGAACTTCAAATTGTGAGCCCTCTTGGTTCAGGGGGCACCAGACAGAAACTGCCCTCAGTCTCCCGGCAGACACACACACACAGATTTCTCCACAGGTTCATACTAGGCCTTGGGGCCCTCTAACAAATAATGTTAAAAAGCCATGACCAAGCAGCACTATTTACAATAGCAAAAAGATAGAAACAACTCAAACGTCCATCAACTGACGAATGGATAAATAAAATGTGGTAGATCCACACAATGGTGTATTATTCAGCCGTAAAAGGAATGAAGTATGGATACATGTTACAACATGGATGAACCTCAAAAACTTTATGCTAAGTGAAAGAAGCCAGTCACAAGAGGTCATATATTGTATGATTCCATTTATATGAAACACTCAGGATAGGTAAATTCTATAAGATGGTTAATGGTTAATTTTATGTGAATTTTACCTCAATAAAAATTTTTAAAATGACTGGCAAGTAGTTAAATATAGCCAGGTACAAGAGGAAACCAAGCAACGTAAGTATCATCTTTGAAACAGCAGAAACAGACTAAATATATCTGAATTAGACACAGATTAGAAAAAAATCCATGCTTCCCAGGTTTAAAGACAAACAACAAAGGTAAAAATATCTACAGGAAAATCTCTGGAAGAACAAAAAATTTCTAGACATGAAAAATCAAAAACCACAATGAACTTCACTTCAAAACAATCAGAAGACTTTAAAAATGTGTTTGCTCGCAGCATGCTGTCATTAAATCATGATTCTATCTGACCAGTTTAATGAGTACTTATTGTGCCAAGAAAGCATAGTGCTGGCTGTTTGAGACACAAAGCTGAATCGGTTCCCTAATCTTCAGATGCTCAGTGTCCAGAAGGGGAGACAGATTTGTGAACTGATAAATTGTCACATAGCTCAGTGAATGTGGCATCATAACTGTAAAAGGTGTTATGCGGACAGAGGTCTCACGCTGGGTAGCAGGGAGTCAGAACACTAGTGGGGAAAACCCACAGCACAGTCATGACACCCAGTGCAGTAAGTGCTATGGAGACACTTGACTAGGAGCCCTGAGGGTGGCATTTCTAAGAAGAAGGTGACATCTTAACTGTGTCTGTGTCTTAGAGCAACGCCCCCAAACGTAAATTTAGACCCCTGAGAACACGCCTGTGGAAGCCTCTGTGGACCTGTTTGAGAAATACTGAATTAGTGTATCAGTGTTGCTAAAGTATTCCTCCTGGTGACTCAGAATATGCTTTTCAGTTAACAAAATGGAAAGAACATATGAAACTTGTGTATTGAACTCTTAGAAGCCTGAATACAGCCACGGAACCTCCCCTCTATTTCTTGTGTGAGAACCACTGTACTGAAGAAAGACGAGGTGGTTTTATCAGAAGTGGGGTGGCGGGCGGGGGGGGTGGCGCACAGAAAACAGTGGCGTGGAACACACAGTATTAGGTCAAATACAATTGAGAACCTTGTCAGCCAAGTTCTGTAGGAAACATTTTCCTGCCTTCTAGGAGCTCAGTCCAGTGGTAAGAAGGAGAGACATAAATAGATGAAAGTATAATAAAACGTATTAAATGCTAAAATGGAAGTGTGCATCATGTGCCCTGAGAACAGCGAGAAGAGAATGTCTGATGCAGCCCCAATTGCTTCAAGAAGCTTCAAATAATTCTTCTAGCTGCTGGTTTCCTAAATTATACGGCCACTAAAATACTCAAGGAATGATAACTGATGTTAACATTACCCAAAACAAAATTATTTTTAAAAAAATGTCTCAGGGAGTTCCAGCAAAATGGTGCTCTAGGCAGAAGCACCATGCCGTCCCTCCACAGCAAAGATCCGAAAAACTAACCCAAACAGAGAATACAACAATCCTGAAACCCTAAAACATCAAATGAAGAGATAAAGAACTC